AATTAAGCTATCAAGCTATTAGGTTTGTGCATGATTTAAAATTCTTTCGTATTTAAAGCCTCATCTTTCTTCACTTATATAATCTATTGATTCTCTTTGTAGGTAACATTTTACAATTCAGATTATTTATCCTAATATATAATAATCATTATAGTGTTCCATGTCGCAATCCAAAAAAGGAAACCAAAGTGGTCGCAACCAGGTGTCGCAAACCATTTTTATATGTCGCAAATATGGTTGCAACCATCATCAAGAATTGCGACCAGCATCTATATTTAATCATTGTATGATTTATATAACATAGTTCCGGAAACAAAGGAAGCTTGATTATTTTGAAAATGTAATTTTTCTATAACAATAACATTTTCTATGGTTATTGTGTGTTCCTGATCAATAATATGTAGAAAAGTTCATTGGTAAAGAGAGTTAGTTAATTTTGATATCTTCCCATTTGGTACAACGACTGAGAGCAACAAGCTTGTCCAGGAGCGAATGAATACCTGTTGATCAAGGCAGACGGATATACTTTGCAAGGTTAACCCTTGTGTTTTGTGACTGTTATACCATAAGCAATTTATTAATTGATTATTTATTTTATATAGGCAGCTTTGGCTGCTTATGAAGAACGCGAAATGCCAAGGCTTAAAAAAGAAAATCCTGGTTTACGTTATACACAATTGAATGAACTTTTATTTAAAAATTTTCAGGTTAGGATTGAAATCAAAAAATAATTTTTTAAGATATATTTTTCTGACATATTTATTTTTACCAATATATTAAATTATATTATAAAGAAATCGCCAGAAAACCCCTTCAATCAAGCAAATATTATTCAGTATAATAGTTCTAGAGAAGAGCAAAAGAATTTAATCGAGACGACTATAAAAAATGTCGAAGATCGATTAAGGATTTGATTTGGCTTAACTTTTTAAATACAATTATAATTAATTAATTTAACAATCATTAATAAAAACTAATTCCAGAATAGAACACTTTTTGTCCGATAGAAATATTGGAAAACCTTGACAATTATAATTGGTCATGCATATATTTCTTGGAAATTTTATGTGAATCATTCAAAACTCGCTAACTTTTTTTGTTTTTTAAAAAAGGAAATTCTCTACAAACCATTTTTATAGAAATGTAATTTGCAATCTGCAATATGCTATTTGATGC